ACCCGCTGCTGAAATAAATAATAGTGGAGAAAACCTGTAGCCAAAAGATTACACATAAACATATTTTTTACAAATAATAGGCATCTTATTTAATATTCGACTCCAATCTAAATGGTAAATTTTTTTCTAACCTTTTTAAGTAATTATAAAATGTCAAAATTATAAACCAATTAAAAACTAAAATGAATGAAGACAATGGGTAGCAACAAAAGCTAATTGGCTAAATATGGGGGAAAAGGCCAGGAGTGGTGGCTCATGCTTGTAATCCCACCACTTATAAGCAGGCAGATCACTTGAGGCCAGTTTGAGACCAGCCCTGGCCAACATGGTGAAACTCTCTCTCTCTAAAATACAAAAATTATCCGGGTGTGGGTGGCGCACACCTGTATTCCCAGCTACTCGGGAGGCTGAGCAGGAGAATCGCTGAACCTGAAGGTGGAGGTTGCAGTGAGCAGAGATTGTGCCACTGCACTCCAGCCTGGGTGACAGAGTGAGACTCTGCTCAAAAAAAAAAAAAAAAAAGGAAAAAAAGAAAAAGAAGATATAATGTTTTTGCAATCTCATTTCAGTTCCACTTATGATAACAGATACATTATGTAATTCAAGCCACTAACATTTGGGGCCAAAAAACAGAATAAACACAAACGTGTGGGATAAGGGGATGCTGACCCCACTGTTAGTGATCACCCTGGTTGGAGACCAAGATTTTATCATACAGATGAAGCCTGCAGGTAGCATGTTTCAGAGAAATAGATTGTAAATGTTTCGTATCAGACTTAAGATCTATGTTGATGATATTGCTGTAGGGGTAGAATGAGGCATGTCCAACCCCCTCTTTCATCGTGGCCTCAACTAGATTTTCAGGTTAACTCTATAATGCTGAGAGGAGGGGTCCATTCAGATAGTTGGGAGGCCTTTGAATTTTATTTTTGGTTTATAGTCTCTACATTAAAAAAAAAAAAGAAAAAATTTAAGGACTGCTTCAATTCTCAATTGTCAACATTTTTAATGTACTGAATGCAATATATGTCAACTTTTGTGTTGAGAAATGAATATCAAATCGTATTCTTTTATCATGTGTATGTAATATGCTTTGCTGATCCTAGTTCGACGGGTTTTTTCCTTTGTCCTCACCCTCGGATTACCTTCTTAGGGCGCCGCGGACTGCGGCGTGGTAGGAACTACACCACCCAGAATACTGTGCGCCGAGCGTGCCGGGGCCTTGGACCAATCGTTGCCCAGGAAAGAGGCACCTGCGTCAGGGCGCAATACGCCGGAATCTTCCGGCGTCTTTCCGGTGGTGGTCATTTTGGCTGCAGGGGAGTGCGTCCGCCGGTAGGCGGTTCCGGCTGGCTGGGTCCGGGCCAGGTAACTGCAGCCGGAAACCGGTGGAGGTGGTGTCCGCCTGCAGAGGAGCTGGCCTGGTCTCGGTCTGAGCGTCGCCCAGCGATTTGCCACCGCACGCCCGCCGGATCCCGGGGTTTACCGCGCGCGTCTCCAGGCCCCGCCCCGCCCAGAGTCCCATGGCTGCGGCAGCGCTTGTGAATACACCGCAGGTGAGAGCGGCGTCCTCGGATCCTCACCCGGGTCCTCAAGCCCCGGATTGGGGTCACCTGCGCGGGACTCTGCAGTTCAGGGCCCTTGACAGCGAGGCGTTCTGGGTGGGGTCCTCAGAGGTGACGGGCGGTGAGGTGAAGAAGGGAGAGCGTTGCGTATGGTGGGAGCTGCATGCTCAGAGCCTGGGAGGTGCGCCGGGGTCGCGAGCATTCGGAAATCTGGGGGCCGACCGGTGTCTGCAGGGAGCAGAGAGAATGAGGAGAAGGCATGGCTGCCATGGCAGCCTGAGCAGCCGGGTTTTAATTCTGAGTCGTTGGGAGCCACGGAGGGTTGTGAACTAAAGGAGAACACGATCTGAGTGAGGGTCTGAAAAAATATTTCAAAGGCCGTGAGTGGAGAGAACAGACTGTTACGGAGTGATGAGGATGGACGCAGAGATTTTGGTGAGGAGACTGCTGTAGTAGACTCCAGGAGGATTATGGTGGATTCTGCATCAGACAGGTGGCTGAAGGGACCTAAGTAATAAGATTCTTGGTAGATCTTAAAGGTAAAGCCAGCACATCGTTTGTGCTTGTGAGCAAAAGTGGGAGTGAAGTATGAACCCAAGTTTCTATTTTACCTGAACACCTGCAAGAGTTGACAAATCTGGTGGGTGAGCAGATTTCAGGGAGATAGTAGGAGTTGAATTTTGGACGTGGTGTTTCTAAACTGCCACAGAGTGAAGTTGTTACATGGGCAGTTGGAATCATAAGTAGAAATTTCATGGGAGGAGACTGACTCAGTGATGTGTAAATGGTGACAGGCTGGGGCCTAGACTCAGGTCAAGCCTTAAATTTAAACGGGAAATCTTAAGGTTTTACTTTGAGATGAAGAGAGGGAGGGCTGAGGCTGGGGAAGTGTGGGTCGGCCTTGCGAGGCTGCCTGCATATAGGAGGGCCAAGGGGTTCCAGAGGTACTTCCAGAGGGAATGTGTAAGGAATACACACTGCATAGGATGGATTTGAGGGTGGGACACTGTGTAGAGTCACCATTCAGAAGACTGGGTGAGCTGTTCACTCTGTGTGGAGCCAGGAAAAGATCAGCCAGACTAGCGGAGCAGCCCAAGCCCAGCAAGAGCAGCTCTCCCAGGAAAATACAAGTTTAGACTGTATAGATTCAATGGATTAAATTTATGCAAGCAATTAACCGATTAAAATGCCACTAATAAATATGTTTGCTTTTTGTCATGCTTTCCTGGCACGGAATTCCTAAAATCCTTGTAATTTCCTCAGTGAAAAGTGTCTTGTGATAAGTCATGTACCACGTAACAATATTGACCACATCAATGACGATGGTCGCATAAGATTATGATGCCATATTTTTACTGTACCTTTTCATTTTATTTCTTTCTGATTAGGAGGCAAATTGCATTTTCTAAGTTTGTAAATGTTTAAATGCACAAATAATTATCACTGTTACAGTTGCTGACAGTATTTAGTATAGTAACTTGCTGTACAGGTTTGTAGCCTAGGAACAATAGGCTATACCATTTAGTAGTTGAACAATGAATGTCTGAACAGTAGTTCCCCCGTGTCCTCAGAGGATACTTTTCAAGACCCCCACTGGAGGCTTGAAACTGCAGATAGTACCCAACATATATATACTATGTTTCTTCCTAGACTACATACCTATAATAAAATCCAGTTTATAAATTAGGCACTATAAGAGATGAACAGTAAATAACTGGAAATAATATAGAACAATTATACTTTATAAGTTAATAAAAGTTATGTAACTGCAGTTGAGACAATAAAAAACCAAAAATTAAATATAAAAAACGTTATGTGAATGTGGTATCTCTCTAAATATGTTACTGTACTATTCACCCTTCTTATTTTGAAGAAGGGACTAAACTCGAAAGAGTGAGATTTCCTCACACTACTTAGAATGGTGCACTATTGGCTGGGCGTGGTGGATCACACCTGTAATCCCAGCACTTGGTGGATCACGAGGTCCGGAGATCGAGACCATCCTGGCCAACACGGTGAAACCCCGTCTCTACTAAAACTACAAAAAATTAGCCAGGCATAGTGGTGGGCGCCTGTAGTCCCAGCTACTCGGGAAGCTTAGGCAGGAGAATGGTGTGAACCCAGGAGGCGGAGCATGCAGTGAGCTGAGATCAAGCCACTGCACTCCAGCCTGGGCGACAAAGCGAGACTCCGTCTCAAAAATAAATGAATAAATAAAGAATGGTGCACTATTTAAAACTTGAATTGTTTATTTCTAGAATTTTAATATTTAATATTAAAATTTTAATATTACTATTTTCAGGCTGAAGTTGAAATTTACTACTTATAATTTTCACACTGAAGTTGAATGTGGGTAACTGAAACTGCAAATAGCAAAACAGCTGATAAGGGAAGACTACACTTGAGTTTTATGAGACGGCTTAGGGTGTGCAGACGGGGTGGAGTCAGTCACCAGACAAATCAAGTGGTTATAGAATTTGAACTTGAAGTCGTACCTCTGGCCTCCAGGGAGGGGTACAGAGATCTGGAGATGAGGTTATATAAAATCTTTCACAGTGAGTTCTGGAAGCTTCAAGGTTGTGAACACTTGGAAATGCTGGGAGAGTGACATAAGAGAGCATGGAAGTATATTCTGCTTTACCCCCTCTCCCCAGTACCTTGCCATATGCATCTCTTCCATTTGGCTGTTCCTGAGTTACATCCATTATCATAAATTGGTAAACATAAGTAAAGCATTTTCCTGAGTTCTGTAAGTGGTTCTAGCAAATTATTGAACCTAAGGAGAGAGGTCATGGCAGCCCCCAAATTTGTAGCCAAGTGGATAAAATTACAGTGGTCTGGACATTGGCTTGCAATTGGCATATGAAGTGAGGACAGTTTTGTATGACTGAGCCCTTAAACCTGTTGGTTTAGATGCAACTCCAGGTAGGTAGTGTTAGAATAGGACTGCATTGTAGGACACCTAGTTGGTATCAGAATCAGAGAATGGTATGGGAAAAGACACTACGTATTTATTGTCAAGGAATCACAGAAACCTCTAATAATTTGAAAAGATACCACATTCACATAAAGACTTAAATGGCAAGAAACACCAAAGTTTTAAAAAATGTTTACAGAAATCTTAATGCCATAGTCAGTACTAACTAAATCTTAGCATTGGATACGTATGAATGAGTTTGATGCCTACAATAGCACTACGAGATGGCCACCATTAAGTGTTTCCATTTTATAGATGAAGGCAGCCTCAGAGAGGGTAGGTCTTTGTCTAGTGTCACACAGTTGGCAAGAGCAACTTACCTTTGTAAATGCCACCTTGAACACCTTTATTCATAGCCTCCTTCTTCCTACAGATTCCCATGGCAACAGAAGAGTTTGTGAAACCATCACAGGTAAGTGGAAGAAGTCCCAGGTCTTCACTGACCCTGTTCCCTAAAGCCATGGTTCTGACCCACAGACGCAGGTGACACTGATGTCCTGGGACTCTTTTTCCTTCGTGTTGGGTCCCTGGGGTCACCTCAGGCCCAGGATGATTAATCAGGGTCAGGAGTTATGCAGAGATGTTCTCATTTCTGCATCCAATAGGATGAAGTGATGAAAGGTTTCCTGGGCATAGGCTCCAGCATGTCCAAATGCTTAGCGATGAGAATGATATGGGCATATATAGGGAACTGCAAGTCTCCGTGCACTGTGGCCAAAACTTTGACAGTTTGAGCTGTGACAGAATATGAGTTTCCTTTTCCTTCTTTACAATCTCACAGATACATGATTGTGTCCTTTTTGTATGATCTTAGCAAACTCAGAGTACAAATTTTTTTTTCTTGTTAAAGAATTCTAGGCCAGGCCGGCGCGGTGCTCAAGCCGTTAATCCCAGCACTTTGGGAGGCCGAGGCGGTGGATCACCAGGTCAGGAGATCCAGACTATCCTGGCTAACATGGGGAAACCCCGTCTCTACTACAAAATCACACTAGCCGGGCGTGGTGGCGGGCGCCTGTATCTCAGCTACTTGGGAGGCTGAGGCGGGAGAATGGCGTGAACCCGGGAGGCGGAGCTTGCAGTGAGCCGAGATCACGCCACTGCACTCCAGCCTGGGAGCACAGCGGGACTCCGTCTCAAAAAAAAAAAAAAAAAAAAGAATTCTAGGCCAGGCACAGTGGCCTCACGCCTGTAATCCCAGCACTTTGGGAGGCCAGGGCGGGTGGTCACGAGTCAGGCAGATTGAGACCATCCTGGCTAACACGGTGAAACCCCGTCTCTACTAAAAATACAAAAAAAATCAGCCGGGCGTGGTGGCAGGCGCCTGTAGTCCCAGCTTCTCAGGAGGCTGAGGCAGGAGAATGGCGTGAACCCAGGAGGCGGAGCTTGCAGTGAGCCAAGGTGGCACCACTGCACTCCATCCTGGGCGACAGTGCGAGATTCTGTCTCAAAAATAAAAAATAAAAGCTCCCACCTTTTCACTTACAGGAAGTACTTCACAGGTTGTCTTTTACATATCTGAATGGCTGGTATTATTGCTCTTGCGCTTTGGGGGTATTAAGTAAGATAAAGGGTTACCTGAACACAAGCTCTGTGATAATGAGACAGTTGATATGATAACCAAGGTGGCCACATAGTGACTAACAGGCAGGTAATGTATTCAGCGTGGATCTACTGGACAAAGGGATGATTCACATCTTGGGCAGAACAGCGTCGGACAGTGTAAGATTTTATCACACTACTCAGAAAAGCACGTCATTTATAAACTTTTGAGTTGTTCTTTTCTGGAATTATCCATGTAATATTTTCGGACCACAGTTGACCACTGGTGAGTGAAACCATGGAAAACAAAATAGTGGCTAAGAGCGGGGACGGCTGTATATGTATTCAGTGCTATAAATTTTATTCTAAGCACTGCTTCCACTGCATCTCACAAATTCTAAGTTGTGTTTTCATTGTCATTTAGTTAAAAATATTTTTAAATTTATCTTGAATATTTCTTCTTTGTTCCATGCATTAAGTCTTGTTTACATCTCCTGGGTATTTTTGGATTTGCCAGCTATCTTTCTATTACTGCTTTCTAGTTGAATTCCATTGTGATCGCAGAGCATTGTATTATTTCTATTAAATGTATTAAGAGGTATTTTATGACTGTGTATTGTAAACTGGGGAGTAAGTGCCCTTCGTGGGGTCTCTAGGATCATTCCAGCACTGCCATGGAAATGAAACTCTGAGAGGCGTAAAGGATTTGTTACATTCATAGGTCGTCATAGAGGGTGGCACAGCAAACCATGCATGGAGCCATATGGAAGGAGTTCTCAGGGAGTGGACTCAACCAAGCAGGCAGGGAGCCAACAGGGAGAGCAAGGACCTGTGGGCAGGTGCCTTTCCTAGTATGTCTGAATGTCATTCAGTCACCGTCAAAGGAGGAAGGAAAGGGGAGGTTGTGACAGGGACCAGTCTTAGCATGCTGGGTACGTGGTCACCGGGGTGGGTTGCTCATCATGTATTGGGGATGTTGAAGCATCAGGAAAATAGGAAGTTTTAAAGATTTATAAAACAGGCCCAGAATGTGGTCTGTCTTGTTGAATATTCCGTGTGAGCTTGAGAACAGCACGTATTCTGTTCTTGTTGGACAAAGTAATCTAAAGATGGTGATTATGTCTGGTTGATTGATGGTGTTGTTGAATTCAGCTAAGTTTATTGGTTTTCTGCCTACTGTATCTGTCAGTAACAGAAAAGAGTGTGGAAGACTTCAATTGTGATGGTGGATTGATCTGTTCATCCTTGAAGATCTGTCAGTTTTTGCCTCATATAGTTTGATGCTCTGTGGTCAGGCATGTATGTGCTAAGAGTTCTTACATCTTTTTGGAAACGGCCTCAACCTCCCGAGTAGCTAGGATTACAGGCGCCCGCCACCACGCCCAGCTAATTTTTGTATTTTTAGTAGAGACAGGGTTTCTCCACATTGGCCAGCCTGACCTCAGGTGATCCACCTGCCTCGGCCTCCCAAAGTGCCTGTGATGTTTTCTCGATAGCTAGACACGATGAGCTCAGTAAAAGGAATTGCTGTAAATAGGCCTTTAATAATGTGGTGGTGAGGTGTGTCAGCGGGCAGGGCAAGCATTTTAAGTCCCGCCGTTAGGTCTCTGTTTTAGTGAGCCTGTTCCTCTTGACTGAAATTCTCATGTGTTTCTAAGTAGTGTTTTGTTATGCTTTTTCTCTCCCATTATGTGGAAGAGGATTACTAGAGTGGGTTGTAGTTGGTTATTTCCCTTCCCCCAGATAGATTAGGCTCTGATAATAACCTCTGTAGGTTGGACTTTGGTTAACTGTTGTCTCCCAAGGGCAGCCTTTGTTTAGAGGAACACATAGCTATGGCATATTTTAAAATGATTCATTTTCCCCTCTCTGGTGGAAGCACAAGGGGATTTTTTTTTTTCCCCAGTATTCACCATGAGAACTTGGTTAAGTTTCTGGAGGTAAATATTGCAGGATTGTGGGGGCCCCTTTTTTTTTTTTTTTTTGAGGGAGTCTCGCTGTGTCACCCAGGCTGGAGTGCAGTGGCCGGATCTCAGCTCACTGCAAGCTCCGCCCCCCGGGTTTACGCCATTCTCCTGCCTCAGCCTCCCGAGTAGCTGGGACTACGGGCGCCCACCACCTCGCCCGGCTAGTTTTTTGTATTTTTTAGTGGAGACGGGGTTTCACCATGTTAGCCCATGTTGGGATGGTCTCTATCTCCTGACCTCGTGATCCGCCCGCCTCGGCCTCCCAAAGTGCTGGGATTACAGGCGTGAGCCACCGCGCCCGGCTGGGGGCCCCTTATAGTGATAAGTGCCTCTTGAATTTTCAGCTCACAGAATTGTCCACACAGAGCTTCCAGCAATTTATGTATTATAGATTGGGTTTTCTTAACCTGGCACTGGTTCGCATGATGGTTTCCTTTCATGAGTTTCTGCTCCTGTGAGCCTTGATTCCCCTGTATTCCCTTGTTTATCTCTCCAATGTTGTGGGCAGTGGTGTGTCCTGTGCCCTTATCTTTCCTGTGTGGATCCTAGAAGAACTGTCCATTTCTTAGTCTGTTTAACTCTTTAATTGCTATTGTGATAGAGTGACCACTTCCAAGCTCCTTACATGTAGAATCGGAAAACAGAGTCCAGGAGTTAGGCCTTCACAATGTCGAGTCTCATGTTGGGACTTCTTGGTGGTGGTGTCAGGTGCACAGCAAGAGACAGACACGTGGAGTTCAGGGAAGGGATCCAAGTGAAAGCTATCCGTCAGCCAGTGGCTGGCCTGTGGACCATGGCAAATTTAAGAGGAACACTCTTCAGGTCATAGTGGCAGTCCCATCAGTGAGGAAGGATGTAGAGAGTATTCTCTAAGGACTGGGTCTCTTGCATGGTCACCTAGAGGTGGGAACCATCACTAAGACTGATAAAGAAGAGTAGTAACCATGGATGTGTGGGGGTAGGATGAAACGGGTGTCCAGCTGCTGGCACAGTCTTTAAATGGGGAATGGTTAAGAGATTCATTCAGAGGCAAAGCAGTACTGGAGGTCAAATGACACCAAGGTCAGGGCTGGTGCTTTTTCTCCCTTCTGCTGGCTCAGACTTTTGTTGGTAACTCTTGGTGGGGCCTGAGTAGTTTCAGACAGGGGGACAGATTAGGTTAAAAGCAAATGAGATTGACTGGGAGAGTCATTCAGCCTGTGGTGGGAGCAGCTGGGGACCAGGCTTTGACTGAGTATAGGTGGAGAGAGGAAAGATGTGACGGGTGTGGGGGCAGCACAGGCAACACTGAGGAGGAAGTGGACTTCGGCAGCGTGAGCTCACACAAGGTCTGAGTGGCTGAAATTGGAACAAAGAGCCAGGCCAGATGGGGAAGTCTTCATAACAGTCCTGAGACTGCCTCTGGCTTGGGTCTAACAAAGATGTGTGGTGGTGCTGGATCCGTGTTGCATTTAGCCAGTGCTGCCTGGGCCCCTTGAGCAGAGTGGCATGTGGAGAAGCCAGTGAAGTGCCTGTGTCATGGATGCTGAGGGCGGTGGAGTTCAAGGTGTAGCAGCCATGATCTGGAGATGTGTTCCCATGAATGGTGTGCAACTGGGAGGGAGTATGGCTGTACTCAGGATCCTTGTACTGGCACTTTAAGCCAAGACAGTAAGCACAGGTTTCAGTATATCTGGGTCTCCAGCGAGATGAACCAGCAGGAGCATGGATAAGATTCCATGATGTAAGGCCCAGAGGGAGATACTATAAGGACCTGGTATCTCCTCTGAGTTGGAGAACTAGGGAGGAGGGAGATTTACTGGGATTCCTGGGGATTGAGTCTGCTCATGATCTCACCTGCCCCCATCATGCAGGGCCATGTGACCTTTGAGGATATTGCTGTGTACTTCTCCCAGGAGGAGTGGGGCCTCCTTGATGAAGCTCAGAGGTGCCTGTATCATGATGTGATGCTGGAGAACTTTTCGCTTATGGCCTCAGTGGGTAAGATCTCTTAAAACCACACCATCGACCTCTGTTGGACTTTGCTCTTCCCCTTTTTCCAGGAGTTTCCTGTCTTTCCCAGAGTTGGACGTGGGCCCTGCTTCTTTCCTTGGTTCTTGACCTGTGGAAGACATAGGCGCTGTGGTTGCCAGGCCTGCGTTTTTTTCTGCCCCAACATCTACTGTCCTGAAGCTTTTTAGTTAAGAGTTTGGGTTCAGACTCTTGTAACTTGCCCAACCGATACCACTTGGTTTTGCCACTGCTTGCTAAGGTTCACTTCTGTGGTGGACCTGTGTTACAGGTTCTCCCCCTGCCTTTAGTAGACATGTCTTTGGACCTGCCTTTCTCAGGAATTATAGGTACTTACATGGTTGCTATTTGTAGGGAACCCTAGACTATGACAGCAACACCCACTCCCAAGGGTTTTTTGTAAAAAGTTTCCCTCCTGTAGTCTGTCATGGGTTGGGGCACTCTGGGCCAGTGTCGTTGATCCGCCTCCCTGTTTTTCCTTTAGGATTGCTTCTGCCTTCCAGGACTGAGATAGTCTCCTGACTTAAGCTGGGGACAGGGGAAAGGCCTGTGTTCCTGAAAGGGTAGTGAAGTCTTTAGCCATAGCAAGGGGGGTTAACGAGGTTTGGGACCTGTGACTAGGAGCAGTGGGAGGTCGTGATTTCAGGGCTGAACTCAAATCATACCAGGCAGATGTCCTATGTTCCCCACTATTTTGGTGCCAGGGCTCATGGCCATACCTCATTTTTCTCTTTTCTCTGCCTGCTTGACAATTTGCCTACTTGTCGTTTCTACTGTGATTGTCTCCTACCTCTGTTCTCCACATCTCTCCAGTTCCTATTCTGCAGTGTTCTCCAACATTAGTCTATCCCTAATGTATTTAATATTATGAGGTGTGCAGATACAGATGTTCCTCAGCTCATGATGGGGTTATATCCTGGTAAACCCATTGTGAGTTGAGAATACCATAAGTCAGAAATGCATTTAATACACCCAACTTATTAGACATCCCAGCTTAGCAACACAGTAGAGTATCAGTTGTTCAGCCTTGTGACTGCATGGCTTACTGAGAGCTGCAGCTTGCTACCACTGCATCACAAGGGTATATACACACTGCCTATCACTAGCCTGGGAAAAGTTCAAAATTTAAAGTATGGTTTCTACTGAATGCACATCACTTTTATATCATCATAAAGTGGAAAAATCGTAAGTTCAACCATTGTAAATCAAAGACTATCTACTGAAGCTCTCAAACATCAGCTATCCAGTTGTAATTGCATTTTCCTGGGATGACACACATTCTATGCAGGTCTCCCCTGTCTCCATCAGACAACGTCCTATTGAAAACCATTGACAGAGAAGGGAGTCATATGCCCCCTGCCTCTCTTCCCACCACAGTACCCGATTCCTTGTTCTCCTGCTGGTTATGGGTCTTCCCCTACATGGTAACCTTCAGAGCCCTAATACTACAAGTATTATGTTCCTTGACCTGACTCCAGCTCCCTTGTCCTGAAAACAAACCCATAGCCTGGGTGCGATGGCTCATGCCTATAATCCTAGCACTTGGGGAAGCTGAGGTGGGAGGATCACTTGAGCTAAGGAATTTGAGACCAGCCTTGGCAACATAATGAGATCCCTATCTCCACAAAAAATTCTAAAAAGTTAGCCAGGCATGGTGGTATATGCCTGTAGTCGCAGCTACTTGGGAGGCTGAGGTGGGAGTGTCACTGGAGCTTGGAAGGTCAAGGCTGCAGTGAGATGTGACTGCAACTGCACTCCCATCTGGGTGACAGAGCAAGACTCTATCTCAAACAAAACAAAACAAAACAACAACAAAAAAAACAAAACGTGGACTCATCCATCCCTGTGTTCCTTAGGTATTTGTAATGGAGCTGTTCCCTTCCACCAAAGTCTGCATATACTTCACTTGCATTTTTATGCTTTTAGGGTGTTTGCATGGAATAGAGACTGAGGAGGCCCCTTCCGAGCACACTATTTCTGCACAAGGAGTGTCACAGGCCAGGACTCCAAAGCCAGGTCCTTCCATCCCAAACGCTCATTCTTGTGAGATGTGTATCCTGGTGATGAAAGACATTTTGTACCTCACTGAGCACCAGGGAACCCTTCCCTGGCAGAAACCTTATACTTCTGCAGCCAGTGGGAAATGGTTTTCATTTGGTTCTAACCTGCAACTGCACCAGAACCAGGACAGCGGAGAGGAACACATCAGAAAGGAGGAGAGCTGTGCCTTGCTTCTGAATAGCTGCAAAATTCCTCTGTCAGACAATCTCTTCCCATGCAAAGATGTTGAGAAGGATTTTCCAACCATCCTGGGCCTTCTTCAACACCAGACCACCCACAGCAGAGAAGAGTATGCACATAGAAGCAGGGAGACCTTTCAACAAAGACGTTACAAATGTGAGCAAGTTTTCAATGAGAAAGTTCATGTTACTGAGCATCAGAGAGTCCACACTGGAGAAAAAGCTTATAAGCGTAGGGAATATGGGAAATCCTTGAACTCTAAATATTCATTTGTTGAACACCAGAGAACCCATAATGCAGAAAAGCCTTATGTGTGCAGTATATGTGGGAAATCATTCCTCCATAAACAAACACTCGTTGGGCACCAGCAGAGAATTCACACTAGAGAAAGGTCTTATGTGTGCATCGAATGTGGGAAATCCTTGAGCTCCAAATACTCACTTGTGGAACACCAGAGAACCCATAATGGAGAAAAGCCTTATGTGTGCAACGTATGTGGGAAATCATTCCGCCACAAACAAACATTTGTTGGGCACCAGCAGAGAATCCATACTGGAGAGAGGCCTTATGTATGTATTGAATGTGGGAAATCTTTTATTCATTCCTACGACCGCATTCGACACCAGAGAGTTCACACTGGAGAAAGGGCTTATCAGTGCAGTGAATGTGGGAAATCCTTCATATACAAACAGTCACTTCTTGATCACCAGAGAATCCACACGGGAGAAAGGCCTTATGAGTGCAAAGAGTGTGGGAAAGCATTCATTCACAAAAAAAGACTTCTTGAGCACCAGAGAATTCATACTGGAGAAAAGCCTTATGTGTGCATCATATGCGGGAAATCATTTATCCGCTCATCTGACTACATGCGACACCAGAGAATTCACACTGGAGAAAGGGCTTATGAATGCAGTGACTGTGGGAAAGCCTTCATCTCCAAACAAACACTTCTTAAGCATCACAAAATCCACACTAGAGAAAGGCCTTATGAATGCAGTGAATGTGGGAAAGGCTTCTACCTTGAGGTTAAACTTCTTCAGCACCAAAGAATCCATACTAGAGAACAACTTTATGATTGCAATGAATGTGGAAAAGTCTTCAGCCACCAAAAAAGACTTCTTGAGCACCAGAAAGTTCACACTGGAGAAAAGCCCTGTGAGTGCAGTGAATGTGGGAAATGCTTTAGACACCGCACCAGCCTCATTCAACACCAGAAAGTTCACAGTGGAGAGAGGCCTTATAACTGCACTGCATGTGAGAAGGCCTTTATCTATAAAAACAAACTTGTTGAGCATCAGCGAATCCACACTGGAGAAAAGCCGTATGAATGTGGTAAATGTGGGAAAGCCTTCAACAAAAGATATTCCCTTGTCAGGCACCAGAAAGTACACACAACAGAAGAGCCCTAGCAATTGTTGACATGTGCCATTGTCTTATTCACCATAACACACCAGAGAGCCGACTTTCCCAGGGATCCGACAGAAATTAAACCTCATATATCTGCGTATCAGTAGTTGAAAGATTCACTACAAGGTCCAAGTACTTGGGAAACTTTCCAGAGATTATTACTTGTACTTTCTAATCTGCCCAGTGTTACAACAGACACTACCATGTGGCATAGCCTCACATTTTTCATCAGTCACTCACATGTGCTCAAGGAATGCAGACCACTGTGCTCACCAAATTCTGAAAGGAGTAATAAAAGCCTATTGAGGGTCCTCTTCCATTTTGCTGAACTGTTCAAGGCATAGACAAAACCCAAATTTGACGAAGAAGAGCAATCTGGATTATTGTAGCCCATGGAGGTTTACCTTCTTCATAGGTTTTTTTTTTTTTATGTGATTGCCATAGTGGGATATTCCCTCCCCCACATTACCCAAGAGGGACATGGGGTGTCTCACCATGTGCTGATGTATATGTTCTGCCAATGTGAAGAGTGAACAGCTCCAACTTTATGTGCCCCTAGGGACATAGTATGAGATCAGAAAATAGTTTAGTCCTACGTGTCTTAATTTTTATTGGTTTCCAAGGTCTCCTAGGAAAGAGAGCAGAGCTGTGTGGTCCTAATCATGGTGTCGATTTTATGCCAGATTTATTTGTAGCTCCAGAGGTCTCCCTGAGAAGAGGCATTTGTGACAAACTCAAGTGCTGGGGTCTGCATGAATTGTTTATTTGCAGTGATGCTCCGTATTTCCTAGCACCGTTCATGGCATCTTATTTCCCAGGTCCTTCATTGTAGTCATGGGCACTGAAGGACAGAATTGGTAGGCAGGTCACTGGTTGTAAGACCTACTGGGGCCAGGTAAGAACAGTAATTGGCCCAGACAGGTAGGTGTAATAAACAGAGAGTGGAAAATATTGTAGCCAAGAAGGGTGGATGTGTCCCATCCAAAGGTGCATCCAAAACTGTCTATGTTACTATGGCTTCATGGTTTGGGAGTATATAGAAATTCTCAGGACCTCAGACCTTTGATTCTCCTTTGGCAGCACACATTGTCAGCGTAAGTCATCTGAAGATTTTGTGGACTCCCATAACTTCTGTACTGTGTTTGAGATGATTGCTGCATGAGCAGGAAAGCAGGATTTGAGAGAACATACACCTTGCCTTTCAGATATGTGGTTTTTGTGATTCACCCAGATCTGTTATGCCAGTTAGAAATTACCTTTATTACTTCCCATTTATTGCCACTGCTGAGAAGGCTGTCCTTCCTAACTTGTGAGGAGTGAATCCTTAATAAGTAAATATTGTGTTACCCTATAGTCTGGTTTTCCAAAAGGAGAGGTAGATGCATATTTTTGTGTGGAACCATTTATCTTAAAACATTGAGGTGCAGTTTTTATACACAAAACCTTCTTTTTAAGAATTGTTTGTATGGTTTATTGCCTAATTAATGGGTTTTGATATTCATGTAATCTCAGTAAGTATCTTGTCTTAGAAATATGTGTGTATAGGCCGGGTGCAGTGGCTCACGCCTGGGAGGCCAAGGCAGGTAGATCACCCGAGGTCAGGAGTTCGAGACCAGCCTGGCCAACATAGTGAACTCCAGTCTCTACTAAAAATACAAAAATAGCCGGGCATGGTGGTGTGGATCTGTAATCCCAGCTATGCAGGAGGCTGAGGCAGGAGAATCACTTGAACCTGGAAGGCGGAGGTTGCAGTGAGCCAAGGTCACGCCATTGCACTCCAGCCTGGGTGACAGAGTGACACTTTGTCTCAAAAAAAAAAAAAAAAAAACCAGAAAATAAATATGTGTGTATATATTCTATTTTGCGTCTTTTCATTCACCTTATTTCATTCAGTCTTCCAAATAAAATGTTCTTAATTTTGATGAAGTCTAATTTGTCTGTGTGTTCTTTTACTGTTATTTTGGTGCTATTTTAAAAAAATGCATTCCTCGGCTGGGCGTGGTGGCTCACGCCTGTAATCCTAGCACTTTGGGAAGCCAAGGTGGGTCAGATCACCTGAGGTCAGGAGTTTGAGACCAGCCTGGCCAACGTGGCAAAACCCCATCTCTACTGAAAATACAAAAAGTAGCTGGGCATGGTGGTGGGTGCCTGTAGTCCCAGCTACTTAGGAGGCTTAGGTGGGAGGATTGCTTGAACCTGGGAGGCGGAGGCTGCAGTGAGCTGAGATATTGCCACTACATTCCAGCCTGGGTGACAGAGCAGGACTCCCATCTCGGGAAAAAAATAAATAAAAATAAAAAATGAAAAATTGTGTAATTATAGAAACCTTGGAAAGATTGTTATTCAACTGATATTATTACATAAGGTATTTATTTTGTAAATTAGTTGCAATATTAGAATTTCTATGCCAGTCTAGAGTATTTATTTCTCTGCTGTTACTGTGACCTTAACACATTGAAAGAGTTCTTATTTTGCTTTGCCACCCCGTACGCATACTTAATTTTTGTTATTTTCCCAAATTCCAGTTATCTTTACAAGATCATTTTCTTTGTTTTTTAAAAGAGCTAACCAGACAAGAAAATTTGCCCTTGTTATTCCCACTTATACAGCTTGTCTGCCAAATGCTTTATGCCATTATTCTCATCAGTCTCATTCTCAGGGGTTTCTCTGAGCAAATCCATACAGAAGTGGAACTATGTGACACTTCCTGCTCCATTCTCATGCTTCATCTTTAATAGGTAAATTTACCATTTTAAATAGTTTTAAAATTATCTTCACTATGTGTACTTTGGATTTAATCCTACTAATAATTAAGAGGCTCTAAGAATCAATGGATTTAATCCTACTAATGATTAAGATACTCTAAGAATCAATGTAAAACTAATTTTAAAGCCAGTAGCATAATTTTGTGAGTTATGCCTGAGTATTCAAAAATCCTAACAAGTCAAAAATATTAAAATTAATATATTTAATCTTTCCATTTAAATATTTCCATTCCATAAACTTCAGAACCAAAGTTAGATACTAACAAGAGACTGTAGATAAATACAGTGTCAATAGTATCCAGGGACTAGCCCATATACTTGAAAATCTTATTAATCATCAATAAAGTACCCCACCATAAACAAATACACAATAAAAAGTTAAGATACAAATAAAGACAGGCCAATATATGAGTAGACCATTGACAGAAGAAAAACAAAAGGGAATAAAAGGATATGAATTAATGCTCAAACGTATTTCAATCTGAGAAACAGCAGATAATACTGTATATTACTTTAAACTTCTAAAGTAAGAAAAACTGGAAAGCTGGGTAATTCTAAATATTGTCTGGGACACAGTGATACAGAAACACTTCTGTCCATCTTATGGGAGAGGAAAGGGCAACCTATAACGTAATTCCAGTTACATACTGGAGCACCATATGACCTAGCTATTCAGCTCCAAGGTACATTTTTCATGTATGTCCATAAGTTTATTTAGAACATAACCCTGATGACCTTATTTTTAAGGTTGAATTAAGCTAGTGGTAATATATTCCATAGCAGGAGAATGGAGGAAGTACATGTCCATAATCTCAAGATTTGAATAAAGGATGAAAGCTTCATGATGTAAAACATTACATGGCAGTTAAAAACCATTGGCTAGAGGTAAGCCCATGAAATACAGGATAGACTATATTTTGTTGTATTTTGAGTGAAAAAGACAAAAAGAATTGTGAGATCTACAATTCAATAAAACATGATAATTTAAAAATAATACCAGCCGGGCACGGTGGCTCACGCCTGTAATCCCAGCACTTTGGGAGGCTGAGGCGGGCAGATCACGAGGTCAGGAGATCGAGATCATCCTGGCTAACACGATAAAACCCCGTCTGTACTAAAAATACAAAAAATTAGCTGGGCGTGGTGGCGGGCGCCTGTAGTCCTAGCTACTCGGGAGGCTGAGGCAGGAGAATGGCGTGAACCCGGGAGGCGGAGCTTGCAGTGAGCCAAGATCATGCCACTGCACTCCAGCCTGGGCAACAGAGCAAGACGCCGTCTCAAAAAAATAGTAATTTAACACCACAAAACTCAAAACCAAAGAAAAAAACCCCAAACAACCCAGACACTTCTTACTAGAACACGTTCCATGCTTTTCTCTCGGTTTCTGGTAGCCCCATGTGTTCCTTGACTTGACGATGTTCTTCCTGTGTCTTCACATTGTCTTCCCTCTGTACATCTGCCTCTGTGACCAAAGTTCCCTTTTTTTTTTTTTTTTTTTGAGATGGAGTCTGTCGCCCAGGCCGGATGGAGTGCAGTGGCACGATCTCAGCTCACTGCAACCTCCGCCTCCCGGGTTCAAGTGATTCTCATGCCTCAGCCTCCTGTGTAGCTGGGACTACAAGCGCCTGCCACCACGTCCGGCTAATTTTTTGTATTTTTAGTAGAGATGGGGTTTCACCCTGTTAGCCAGGATGGTCTCGATCCCCTGATCTCGTGATCCACCCGCCTCGGCCTCCCAAAGTGCTGGGATTACAGGTGTGAGCCACCCCACCAGGCCCAAATTTCCCATTTTTGTAAGGACACAGTTATATTCAATTAGGAACTAACCTAATGGATTAATTAACATGATTACCTGAGGTTCTGAGGGTAATGACTCCAACATCTTTTTTGGAGACACAAACACTTAACATTGCCCTATGAATTTCTGCAGTTCTTTCAAAGGCAGAGTGAATAGTAATCACAGCAATTTCAAGATAAACAGGCTTCCATTGTGAGATGGCTTGTTGAAAGAAACTATTAATTCTCTATACTCTTCTGATCACTCTGTTGTTCACATTCATTTTAGACTTTCTCTTCCAAATAACTTCTGGTGCTTTCCTTCCTGCTTTCATTTTCTTCAGTGTTCTAGTTCTGTTATGTTTTTATTCCATCAGCAATTTCTTAAATTTCTCTTTTCAACCTTAAGTGGTTTTTCTGAAATTATAAAATTTACTGTGAACATTTCAGACATTTCCACGTGTGCATGAAGTTAAAGTGAATGTTCACTCTGACACTCCCCTCTGCCCCATCCCTTCCCTCCCTCTACACCCAAGGAGCAAATACCATTTAACTGGGTGAGAATCCTTCCAGACACATTTTTTGTCTGCTTACAAACATTAAGATTTCTAATTCGTCTTTGCATGACTGACTTGCCAAGTGAATTCACCGTCCACATTTCCTCTGAGACTAATTGAAGTGCACCAACTGTGAATGGTCATAACTAGTCCCACCCCCACAATCATTTCTCACAGATTAAGCACCATAAGAGCATAGTGCTTTTTATCTAATTTGTTCATTAAATGTAACAAAGTTACAATAACAAACATGAACAAGAAAACATGTTTTACCTTTACCTCCGCCGGGCACAGTGGCTCACGCCTGTAATCCCAGCACTTTGGGAGACTGAGGCGGGTGGACTACCTGAGGTCAGGAATTCAAGACCAGTCTGGCCAACATGGTGAAACCCCATCTCTACTAAAAATACAAAAAACTTAGCTGGGCGTGGTGGTGGGCGCCTATAATCACAGCTACTCAGGAGGCTGAGGCAGGAGAATCCCTTGAACTCGGGAGGCGGAAGTTGCCATGAGCTGAGATGGCACCACTGCACTCCAGCCTGGGCAACAAGAGTGAAACTCCGTCTCAAAAAAAAAAAAAAAATTTTTTTTACCTCAATCATAAACTGAGTATTTGTGGAAAACATACAGAAGTTCATAACTTTTACTGACTTAAAAATGGGTGCTAAACAAGTTTAGGCCAATATATTGCACCTGTTCTCACGTGTTTTTCCTATACTAGATAGTAAGTTCCTTCCCTGCTCAAGGGTAGGACCCATAGCCCAGCCATCTACTGCATCCTACTCTTCCAAATATGAACACAACAGTGAGTGGCCATGGAGCTAAATGACAGGTGTCTCATGAGATTCTTGCCTATCACAGCAGCAAGTTCATAGTAGATCCTTTTACCAAACACTTTAAGACTGTACAGAAAGAGTTGAAAGCTAAGAAAAACCCCAGGCTGTCCTTTATCCCATGGAAAACATCACTCCTGCTTTGGGACAAACTGGGGCCTAGGTCCTCAGGCCTGGGAAGAACCCTTTGATGACAGCCAATATGTTTCTAGAGGGATTTCTCCAACTCTCTTGAACCCAGGGCCTTAGGTACAAGTACAGCCACAGCTACAATACATGCAGCCTTCCAGAGAGAGGATGCAGGAGGGTGGTGGTCCTCAAGAGTCAACTCTCCTTCCCAGAGGAAAGGAAACTGTGCACTCTGTCCTGAAAAAACAAAAACAGAGAACTCTTAACTCACCAAGAATTGTATTTATAGTATGTGCAAAAGGACCACAGTAAAAGGTACATGCCCACTATGAAAACATGAAATACATATGCAGTGCTTTAAAAGTTTGTGAGGAAAGCTCAAAGTGAGAAAATAATTTTCTGTTTTTCACACAATACATGTTTTAACCTAACATTGTCTCATGTAGCTTGAAAACTAAAAGAAAATCTCACAAAAGGAATTTCAAATTACCATATTCAGGCTAAGTGCAGTGGCTCACACCTGTAATCCCAGGATTCTGGAAGGCTGAGGTGGGTGGATCACCTGAGGTCAGGAGTTTGAGACCAGCCTGGGCAATATGGCAAAACCCTGTCTCTACTAAAAATACAAAACTTAGCTGGGGCACGGTGGTACATGCCTGTAATCCCAGCTTCTCGGGAGGCTGAGGCAGGAGAATTGCTTGAACCCGGGAGGCAGAGGTTGCAATGAGCCAAGATTGCACCACTGCACTCCAGCCTAGGCAACAGAGTGAGACTCCATCTCAAAACAAAACAAAACTAATTACCATATTCAATGCTAGCACCAAGGGAATAAGGTCCTGGTGGTTAACTATGAAACTCACGTAAAC